CTGCAAAGGAAAGATAAAGTGAGTAAATGAATGGGGGACACACCATGTTCGTGGATTGAAGATTCAATATTTTTGTTTTGTTGATTTTTTCTATGATATTTTTGGCTTTTACTTTGGTGATCTGTTTTCTTCTGCAGAAGTTAAGGTTTTGGGGATTGCATCGTTCCATCTCCGCCACCGCAGCCTCGACCTGCTGGGCTCCAGCGATCCTTCAGCCTCAGCCTTCCAAGTAGCCGAAATTACAGGCATGCGCTACCACGCCCGGCTGATTTTTTGATTTATTGTAGAGATGAGGTCTCGCCAAGTTGCCCAGGTGGGTCTCGAACCCGCGGGCTCAGGCAATCCACTCACCTCAGCCTCCTAAAGGTGCCGGATTACAGGCTGAGCCACTGAACCTGGCTGAAATAAATTTATCTTATATAAGGTAGCTTGAAATATTTTGTGAGTTATGACATACTCCTTAATGGATTCATATTGTGTAATCTTTTAAACATTATTTTATTAGATCTTTCTGTAGGGCATGCCCTCAGAGTTGGCTTCCAGGGGTTGTTTTACAAAAGAAGTAAAACTGTTTAAACGGATACATTTATTTATTTTCCTCTTACTTATTTCCTCCTATAGTATAGAAAAAGATGACTTTATTTATTTTCTTACTTATTTTAGTTAGACTTTAATCCAGATCTTGACTTTGTTCTTTTCTTACCCAGGTAACTTTGAATAAATTACCATAAACTCTGTACCTTGATTTTCTTGTCTGTAAAATGGGGATGTTTCCATGTTATACATTTTTGTGGAGCTTTAATGAGATAATATACATAAAATGTCCAGCTCAATATGTAGAGCTAACAAAGTTGTGTTCCCCTTTCTCTTATCATCCAAAATTTGTATTTCACCTTGGCTTTGCAGAGTTACAGAAATAATGTGTGGCCCTGAGACAAAGTAAAACTTGCCCACTCACCTCTGAGCACTGTTTCGGTAGTTCTTCTGGGCCACATCTCTATAACACCATAATCTAACCAGCTGAACTAGTTTTTAGACTCTTAGGGAAGAGTTTAATCAAAAAGTTCCGTGCAATAATTAGTATTTTCATATTAAAAACAGGTTACTTACCACACTCTGAGGCTCAATTTCCTATCTGTTAAATGGGGATAATAATACCAATCCCAGAAAATAACTGTGCAGCTCAGAGGTAATGTATGTAAAACACCTAGTATAATGCTGAGTTTACAGCTGATACACTCATTAATGGAGGCTATTTTCTTGATAAATTGGGCTTATATGTATCTGAATTTCTAGATCTTATAGTTTCATACAACAGCTGAGAGACAAAATGCTGCCCCTGCTTTTCAAAAGTAATGTAGTGGCCAGGCCGGGTGGCTCACGCCTATAATCCCAGCGGTTTGGGAGGCCTAGGTGAGAGGATTGCCTGATCCCATGAGTTCGAGACCAGCCTGGGCAACTTGGCGAGACCTCATCTCTACAATAAATTTAAAAATTAGATGTGCGTGGTGGCATGTGCCTGTAGTTCCAGCTACTTGGAAGACTGAAGTGGAAGAATCGCCTGAGCCCAGCAGGTCGAGGCTACGGTGGCTGTGAGCATGCCACTTCACTCCAGCCTGGGCGACAGAGTGAGACTCCAACTCAAGAAAAAAAAATTAAAATTAAAATGGAAAAAAGTAACCTAGCAATTCCACATCCATGGACAAAGCTAGATGTGCAAAGTTCATGGTGACATTGCTTATAATAGCAAAAGACTGTAGACAACCTAAATGTTTCTCAGCAGAAGACTCATTAAATTATTACATATTCACATGATGATTTGATACAATAGAATCTTTAAAAGAATGAGGCCCATGTATATGTACTGACATTGGAAAGATCTCCAAGAAATACTGAATTTAAAAAGTAAAAGGCAAAACAGTAAGTGCAGCGTAGTCCTACTTGTGCTTGACTTGAAAAAGAAAAAGAAATATTACACACACACATACACGGACACACACACATACACACATGTATATATGTATTAAATTTCTAGGCCAGGCATAATGGCTCACGCCTGTAACCCCAGCACTTTGGGAGATTGAGGCGGGAGGATTGCTTGAGCCCAGAAGTTCAAAACCAGCCTGGATAACATAGCTGTATTATCTCTGTATTATCATAAAATAGAATTTTTAAAAGTTTTTTAAAATAAAGAAAAATTAAAAATTTTTTAAAAGGATACATTTCTGGATGGCTAAGCATATAAAAATACTTTATTTGTGGAACAATATGTTCAATATAATATGTTTTGAAGTAAAATATTTAATAGGAAAAAATTTTAATATGTACATCTATATCTGAAAATATATGTAAAAGTGGTCTGTGAGGATTCTTCTGAAACTGACGGGATAGTGATTTCTTAGACAAAATGGTGTGGAACATGAGTTAATCAAGGGGGATCTTGGCATTCTATGCAATTTTTTTTTTTTTTTTTT